TATATATTGAATCTCATATTTAACCCATATATATTTTACCCATAAACGTCGATGTTCAAATTTATGGGTGAAGTAGGTCATTTAATATATATTTCGTGGACCCTCATGAGGGTCAAAAATATATAGAATCTCATATTTAACCCATATATATTTTACCCATAAACATGTTCAAGTTTATGGGTGAAGTAGGTAATTTCATATATATTTCATAGACCCTCATGAGGGTCAAAAATGTATTGAATCTCAGATTTCACCCATAAATTTGATGATATGAAGATCAATAAAAAAAGATTTGACCCATAGATCAAATATAGGAACCTCACGGATATAATGGGATAATCTTATACATTATATCATCTCGGGAAAAGTCTCGTCGAGCGTTCAAGGAATGCCACAGGTATTTGAATCTATTGAAAATCCAACAATATATAAATAAATCAAGAAGAATATCAGAAGGACATAGCACTTCCCGAATAAGAGGGATAATCCTAGATAATGCAGCTCCCGGTGCTGTAAAATGTCTGGAATGCTTTTGTCGTTTCCACCATGTTTAATACATGACTCCGGCTTTTCCAGATAGTCCCCGATCGAAGAAACTGGTAAGTATACTTCATGGATAGAGGGCGGGTGGATGGAGTGAGATGGGGAGGAGAGGTCTGCAATGAAAATCGAGTGATATATAGAAAATGGGAGGCTTTGGGGTGAGAACCAACACATATATTTTACAACAGCCATGATAATAATACAATCAGCTCGTGAAAGGTGGATGTTAGGTGAATTTTCATGAGTGTATTCGAGGACTTCGTCTTACACATCTGAATATGGAGATTTAACAACCTCGCAATCTTGGTGGGAACGAAGGCAGCGGCAACTCTATTCATTTCAAAATTCAATCATTTTCTTCTTGAGAATTGATGCAATGTTATGTGAGAAATATATAAATTATTTCTTTTATTATACAGTGAAGAAATTCATTCAATCATCACTGTGAACCCTTAATCCTGTCCATTTTGACACTTTGAATCAGTTTGACCCATAATCCTTTCATCGTTGACCTTTTGACTTAGTTTGTTCTTCGCTCGCCTTCATTTGACCTATAATCCTTGTATTCATGACCCCTCAACTCAGGTTCACCTTCGCTTGCCCTCATTTGACCCATAATGCTTTCAACGTTGACCTTTTCATTC